AATAAAAGCAGATGACAGAAAATAACAGTGCAATTGCACTTTGGGTAACGGCTCCGATTTTGGATCTGATTGTGAAGTCAAATAGGAGAGCTAAGGGGAAGGAAAAATGCGTGTTGGGAAGCATGATTTGGTTAGGAGGCCCCAAGAAGGCCTAGGGAGGGGAGAACTAAATTCTTTGTTTAAACATCTGGGTTTCCTGAATAAAGAGATGGAGCTCTTCTAGGCCTCCCATCTTTCCTTCATGCCCAGCCTGGCGAAGGCAGACGTTGCACTGCTGCAGCTCTGGCAGTCCTCAGCAGGGGCTGTAGGCTTGAGGTCACTTTGACTTGATGGAATTTCATTTCTACCTCCATTCTACCTTGAAAAATGACACTTGAATAAGTGTCACTTATTCTCATATTTAGAAAGGCAAAAGGCCAAAGCTTTTTTTTATTATTATTATTTGGGGGTAAAAACCAGAAAACTGTATGTTCTAGAGAAGCAGGCACAGCTACCAAAGGCAGGTCCTAGTTCACCAGCCTGCCTTAGTTGGGCCCTGGACAGTTCTGATGAACGATGGCTACACAGTCAAGCTTTCAGCAGAGCTGCTAAGCAAAGGAATGATTTAATTAGAAAATGTGCCCCAAAAAGGGATTATTCAGTGTTTGAAGGAGAATGGAACTCAGAGCGAGTACTGTGATCTTAAAGATAACGCAGAAGCCTGCCCAAAGGGAGTAAGACTGTGCTGAACAAGATATTGAGAAAACCACTGAAACTAAAACCAGCTATGAACTTACCTTTTAGAGGACATAGAGAGGCTTGTTTCTGGAAGTTATGTAAGCAAATTAAACTGATGGAGTTTGATTTTTAGTAAGTCTGAACAGGGTAAGCATTTGAAGTTATGATCCCCAACTGGAAGCAACCTTCAATGGTGACTTAAACAATTTCACTTTGTCCCCTAGTTATAGGGTAAGAGCGTTAATGCAGTATGTTGCCATATCTTGGACAGTAATTTCTTTAACCAGTCTAATGCATGTGTTTTGAGACTGTCTGGTCGTGCCTTTGCTCTGGCATAACCTGGAATGCAAGGGCTATTTCAGAATAGTTGTGGCTGGGAGTAGTTATTCTTGCTGGTGGCTTCACCTTACATTTGCATCTAATGGAAGTATCTGTGCAAGTAACATCTCAACACCGGGATTAAGAGTTGGCTCTTAGCGATCACTGCAATTTATGCTTTAAAACAGCAGCTTTCCTTGAAATACAAATT